AGACACCACAAGATCTGTAAAAACTGTATGTCCTTTATAAAGTCTGACCAGGTTACCTTCTTTTTAAAATTGTAACTAGCTCAGATTTTGCAGCTAAACTTTCTACATATAAACTGCCACCCTGGTTTTCTAAAAGTTAGTCTCTTCATCCATATTGGATAAATCTGCACTACATAATTCACTTGGCGGTGCAGTAAGTGTACATGTAGCGATATGGAAATGGAGATGTGTGGAGGTCAGGGTAGCAGATGTACTTCATCTTTCATGCCGCAGCTTGCATCCTGCATCCTCCCATCTTTTTTTCTTTTACATTGATCGAAGCCGCAATCTTTGCAGAATCTTGCTTACGTGTTTGAGTTGTAGATTTAAGTTTGGTATTGGACCTAAAAATGTGTTTACACTCACATGACCCTATCTTGGCCAGTGGTTGGGGTTAAGGATTCCCAAAAGTCCTTCATTAGTTGTTTTCACTGCTGTCCTATGAAAACCATGCGTCTTCTTTAGCTACTTTTTTTGAATGCTGTGAGTTCTTCACATAGCTGACTATGATTTAGAATGGTCTATTTATCTTAAAAAGGGGGATGTTTTTTCAGCTTTTGAAGTGAAAGGCCATCCAAAGTGGACATACACGTTTTCAACCAGCAACAGAATAACTTAATAATAACGAGTGTCAGAACCTGTTTGATTTGAACACATTGAGGTCAAGTCTCGTTTAATACCTAACAACAAATTTTCAAAAACTAACAAAGAAATTAAACTTTATTTTATTTTTTAAGGTTTAAATATAACTTTATAACAATATAACTTTGGTATACTGCAAAATGACATGTTTGAGTTGTCTTTACTTCTAACCATGGTTGTTCTGTTTCTACAGAAGTGTAGGACTTGAAAAATGAATCCACAGTAAGTACAAATGAGACACGGGCAGAAATTTACATTCACATTTTTCACCAAAACCTAACAGCACCAACTAAATCAGCAGTGTATCAACATACATTTGCAGGTTAGATTTTTCATTAAAATCTGTGAGTTTGGGTGAACTGGTCTGACTTTTGACGAAGACTATATGCAGTGAAATGACTCTAAAAGCCTGCCACAGCATAAAGTAACTGCATACTCAAGTGAAACCTAACACAAAGTCAGAGATAAAACTTTCTTTTATATAATATATTTATGCTGCAAATGAACAGAGTTCCTGGCAAAGATTACAATAGCTGGCAGTGTTAACACCCATTTTTAGTTCTATTTTCTGTATTTTGTGCATTACCCACTCTTCACTAAGCACAAAGCTCATTCCTTCTTTTGTTTTCCAGCATTGAGTCAAAGTTAATCGGCTTTATTGAGCACTTTTCACGGTAAATCTGCAAATCACGATAACTGGTCTGAGCTTGACAGAGACTATATACACGGTGAAATGACTCTAAAATCCTGCCACAACATAAAATAACTGCACACTGAATTAAAACTTAACAGAGAGTTAGAGATAAAACTTTAGTTTTTTTTTCTTTAAACTATATTTATGCTGCAAATGAACAGAGTTCCGGGCAAAGATTACAATAGCCGACATTTTTGGATCCATTTGCTGTATTTTGTGCATTACCTACTCTTCATTAAGCACACAGCTCATTCCTTCTCTTGTTTTCCAGCATTGAGTCAAATGTAATCGGCTTTATTGAGCACTTTTACGGTGCTGCGGAGCTTGGCAGTATAAGCAAAAAGATAATGGGTGTTTATGAGCCCCAATCTTCTAAATCAGTGTGAGATGCCTTAATTGGAGCAATATCTTAACAAAATCTTGTAGTTTTTTTGTATCCAAGGGATTCAAGTGGCCGAGGTGGCACGTGAAGAAGAAAAAAAAAATAGTCCAATCCTTCTCAGACTGTAATATTAACAAATTTTTCATTCCAGTTCCCAAGGTGCTGGTTCACACAGCGCTGAAAGAACTTTTAATTACATTCACGACTCACAGCAGAATGACTAATGAGAATTTTAGGCTTTGTGGATCGTTGCCATTATTTTTTAGATTCATCCGTCACGCATTGGAACTAATTGTTACCCAGCTACTTGATCAGCAGTTGAGCTCAGCTTGTTATATATGTGAGGGAGTCCAGTTCATTTATTAGCATATGTGGGGTGTTTGGGTGCTTTGGGGTACGCTGCGGGTGAAAAGCTAATAGAGCATATGGTAAATGTCCCTATTTAATAATTCCTCGCAAGTGCAGCTGGTGGCTGCTGAGCACATTCTCAGAGGTGGTTACAAATGTTTTTAAATGGGAATGCAAAGTACAGAGCAAATAAATCAGGACGGTAAATTTACACATTGAGTTTTCGCTTCACTTGGTTGCTTAAAGTTTGAACATAAATTCCTCAAATGCAATGTATGCAAGGAAAGGAGTTTGTTATTTCAGCAATTAACTAACTGGAGGTTCACCAAGCTCGCTGCTCCAAACGTGGACGTGCAGCTCCGGGATTCAGTGTTTTTCCTCGGCACAGCAGATTTAGTCAGTTTTGGCCCCGTGCACTGTTGTCACCGCGGCAATGTTTTTTTTTTTTCTTTTCCTATCGCTCGCTGCCATGTAACCAGCTTGCACCTGTCTGGAGCGCGTCTTGGGAAGTTCTTATCTGGTTTTGACTTTGTCACTCCTCGCCAGACAGCGAGGCGGAAACTGCATTCAGAATGACTGAAAAGCTGCAACATAAACAAGCTTCTCAAGACAGAGAGCAGCTTTTTTTTTTCTTCTTCTTCTTCTGCCGACTTCTTGTGAAGCCACAGAGGAAAACATGACGGGAGTTAGGTGGTGGGAGGAACACTATGCAAGAAGGAACTTAAGCTAAAAAGCTGGATTTTTAGGTGTGAAGACGCAGTTTGAACTGATACAAATATTAAATAAACAGAATTATTTAATCAGCGACTTATTCTCATTTGTTCACTCAGTAGTAACTTCAAAGCTGTAAATTAAGATTTTGGACACTTTGTCATACTTTTAGCTGCATGATGGTCATTTTATAAATCCTAAATCCTGGGACTGTTACCAGATATATGTAGCAGATACACTTACAAGCTCAAAATTAGGACACGTAACAAAAATGTCGGACATGATGAAGAAGAGGAGAAGGGTTACTGGTGGTATCATGGCCGATATTTAGCGTTTTTCAAATTATCTGTAGCGTTACTTTAATTAACTGAGTATTGATAAATTAAACGGCAAATTTGTGTCGGATGCTACCACCTCTCTTTGTCTGTAGTCACTCTATGGTCTTAAAAATGTCTCTATAGCAGAAACAGAACCTGCAAGAAATCCAAACCGTCGCCACAAACCACCTTGCCACATTGGCAAAGGCTATGCAAACAACTAGCGGCGAAGCTAAAAGACAGTCACAGATTAACCTGAAACAGTGCCTGGAGAACAGTTACAAATCACGCTTTAAGATTTGGGTTTAAGTGAGCAATAAAAGTGAAACAACAGTAAAAAAAAATGAGCAAACAGAGAAAAACAGCAGACGTAGCTGCACAACACAAACTGTTCAATCTCGTTCAATGACAGAAGTGGAGGCTAGTGTGTTCACATCTTGTGATTCTTCGATGTCATCATTCCTACAGCATATTCAGATATAGTAATCCTTAATAATAATGACGCCTCGTTATGAATGACAGGATTCCTGCTATTACATGCTAATAAAATACAGCTTTTATCAAATCAAAATATCAGTTATTGGGTCTTTCTTGCCAATTACTACCAATAATCGGTATTGGCCCAGAAAAACTTCTCAGCCGACCCCTAAATAGACGTCTACCTTCTACATTTGTTTGGTCAGTCTGAGACAGTCTGAAAACAAGTTACCAGAGTTGGCAACGCTGTTATTCTGGGCTCGAGCAGGATGCAATTTGGATGTAATTTTGATGTGCACCAAGTCCCAAATATCACTCAAGCATGCAGCTCTTTCAGTAAATGTGCTGTCATGTCTGAATGAAGCCATAAGGAACATTAATGTAAAAGTCACCCATGCTTGAATGACACAAAGCCGTCACTTCATCAGCCTGGCAACATGTCCCGTGTCTGAAAGGGGCTTCTGTCTGAACTCAGGGATCCAGTGTCTGCCACTGGTATCCATATAAATTGCAAACAGTATGCGCTGTGCGAGGATAGAAAGTTTGACAAGCGTAGCAGCAGTAACTGAGGGGCATGGGGCTCAGCCAACTGTCATTACCACCCTGTCTGGGTAAAGGCCGTCTGGTCCCAAGTTAAGCTACCACTAAATATTTTGTCCCATCTCATCCACATTTCTTTCATTTCCTCTTACAAATCAATCTTCTCTGTCTCAATGAATCACCTCCTCGCTCTCAGTCCCCTGTGCTGATGTGTCTCGCTGAGAAGAAAGAAGACGCTTCAAATCCAGCTTACTACTTGGGTTTCGTCGTGTTTGTTCTTTCAGCACAATGGGGATCCGTGAGGAAAAGTGCTTTTCTTTGCTCTTTCGGGTCCAGAGGGTCCCATCAAACTTCATGTACACCTCGAGGAGGGGCGGAGGCTACAGACTGTGTGATAAATCTCACTGTGCACACAGTATTCCATCCTTCCCCATAAATCTACTGTCATCTTTTCCTTTGACCTTCTCAGATATGTGAACCACCAAATTTTCATTAATTCACGACCTTTAACCAACAACTCTGAAGGTAACACTGAAACTCCCAAATAGCTCTAAAGTGTTATGGAATTTTCTGATTGGATTTCCATACACAGCCATGAGTGTGCAACTCCTCAGTGTGTATTCTGGGTTAAAGAAGAGAGGAAGACCCTCATTTTGCTTCATGACTGTTGTAGAACATAATTCAAAAACTGTTCTGTCATGCCCACATCTCTTTGATATCAATAAATGCAGTACAGTTAATTGTGGTTAACGAGGTAGCAATGATTCGTAACTGATAACACAAAACTCAACCTAATTTACATTTAAATTACAATCATCCCAGCATGAATGAATGCACAGTGGCTACTCACACATTGAAGAGGTTGAGGCCGATGCGGTAGAGGCGTTTTCTCATGACGTCCGTGGACAGTGTGGGTGATTTACAGCTGGCGGGGTTCTCACAGTGGTAGCGTGGCAGGCTGAGGATCATGGCCTGTAGGGCCTCCTTGGACGAGGCTTCGGATGTTGAGCGCGCCTCCGTCGACGTGCTGCTGCTGCTCATCTGCTCCGAGCTGTTGTCTGCCGTCTCGGAGCCACATCTCTTAACGTCCAGAGGCTCCACCACAGGAGAGCTCCCCAGCAGCACAGCCTCCTGGGGTGGAGGGATGCGAGGAGGTTCTCCTAGCGGCGGTGCCACCATCACAACCTCCTCTAGGCTGTGAGGGGCAGCCATCTTATCCAGAGGGGTCAGGGGAGGTTGTCCATACTCTCCCAGAACTTCTTCACTAGGAGGCGGCGCAGGGAATTCAATATCCTGATCGCCTCCTTCTATGTCTGGCTCTGGCGGTGGTGGGGGTTCTTGGGGCGGTGGTGGGGGATCTATAGGTTGGGCTGGGACCTCTGCAGGTGGAGGAGGGGGTTCTTGTGAGGGGAAAGGGGGGACCACGAAGGCGGGTGTGGAGTTTGCTGTGGTGGACGCTGTTGTGACAGTGGTGGAGGCCCCGTCTTGTTGGGCGCTGCTGCCGAGCGTGACGGAAGTGGATGATTCCATGACTGATGATGAAACACGAAAGTTCTGGCTGTCAATCTGCACCGTCACATCTCGAAATGCCATCATCAGCTTACTCGCGCTTCTCGACAGGTCACTTGGGTCCACTGGGCCTTGATGAATCACTGACTCTCCAACACCACCTCCTTCTCCGCCCCCTCCTACACCTGCAGCCGCCGCTGCTGCCGCTGCTGCACTGAAAGAGTCGGCGCTGAACTGATAGGTGCCGCCTTCTTGCAGGGAACACATGGTCTTCAGGCTCCAGTTGCTGAGTGCATCATCTATGGACTTTGCCAGTGACTGAACCTGTTCAGTGAATGAGTCTTCCAGGTCGGTCAGGGTGCCACCGACTGTGGCAGGCAGAGATGGTGAGCGCACCAGTGGGATCCCTGCCAAGTTACAGCCTTCTGCCAGGGCCCGTTCAGCGGAGAAACCCTCCGTATTCTGGACACGGACCTTGCGCAGGGAGATGCGTCGAGGCAGACGACTCTCCAAGAGCGAATTTCGGATCTTCTCAAAGTTTTTGCTGAGCTGGTACTGGCGGAAGGCAGTCTGGATCTTGCAGGCAGCACGGCGGGCGATGAGGTGGCCACCGTATTTGTGCTCTAACATTTCGATCTAAAAAATAGAAGAAAGGGGGATACAGAAAGAACATAATGAATTGGTGTGTTTAAATTTACAGGCATCTGCTAAAAGACCATTCATCAACCAGCTAAGACAGTGACCGTTTCATATACAAATTGCAAATAAACACAAGATGCATACAGATAAGAGAAAAACATTGCCAAGATTACAGAGGGCTCTGCATCTGGAACTCCTGTAATCCATCCCTCAGGGATGGTTATATTTGTGAGAGGAGAGCATGCATGCCATGTGACTACCAGTGTTTGAACATTTTTAATATTCTTTTGTCTGTCTACGGTGCGTGAAAGATAAATATCATGTAGCACTTGAATGGCAGCATGAAGAACAGCTGGAGTGTGGGTAGAAAACGAATGAATGTAAAGTGAAATTGGTCAATTGTAGTGGGGAAAGAAGAAAAAAACGAGGTGAAAAGGGCTGTAAAATCCATTTTTGGAAGGCGAAATCCAGATATTAAACACTGCAAATTCAAATAATAGGATTCTCAGATGACTCAGTAATTTTGTTTTGCACGCTGCTGTTGTGATGTGTATACACTGAAACCATTGCATTTTTGTCAAAGCCACGGTTTGAAAGCGAGAACACCGTAACGGCTGACTCGTGGCATTTGGACAAACTGTTCATTTCCTCAACAAATAGAACTTATAATCTGTGCGAATTCCATAGAGAAGTCCTCCACACAACTTTAAATTGTCTGAAACTGAACAAGCCATTAATCTTGCCTGTGGAAAAAAAAAAAAATTGCTCAAATGCTGTGGGAAATAGATAGAGATGTAATATAGCCGTCCTCATCTGGCAGCAGCTCAAACACTAGATGAAACCTCTTTGAGTTTCCCAGAACAATCAGGGTGTGGGTATCTTTGGAAGTGCCCAGAAAGCGCGCTTATCTTCCCGAGTCACTCTGAAATCCTTTTCATTCAGACTAAATCAATGAATATAATTTTGTTTCTGCTCTAATTTGATCAAGGGCACGAGTGTGGAGCTTTGAAAGAATATGCAGTGTCAATTTACAAACACGGAAAAAATACACATGTGCAAAATATCCAGCATAGACGTCGCACAATCCTGTCTCTTCCCTCCTCCTTAAGAATTTGAGCTGGGTTCTCGTATCGGTGCAACGTATACACCAGGATTAATTTGGTCCAAGTGAAACGGCCTTCCTGTCAATTCAAATGCAATTGAGTGAATGGTTACCGCGGCCTTGAAGGATCAAAATGTGACTTTTAGCCGCTAATCTCCTTTCGCTTCAGTCCTGGACAAAGTCACCACAGCACCTCATCCGGACTTGTGCACTGAAAAGCACTGATAGGCTGTAATGGCTGGAGGGGTTTGCAATTTCTGATAAGTGGTTAGTTCAACAAGATGCAGCCTCTGTCATGTCATTGGAGGAACGAAATCACATACAAAGCTCTTTAGAAAAGTGGAATGACACTGAAAATCCATCTTATCTACTCCATTTACATTTCGCTGCAGAGCCTCTGCGAGCAAAGCGAAACGTACGGGGAATGTTAAGGTGGCTTTCTGAATAGGACGCCGGTTTACAGCTCGACTGTATCTGCCGATGGTGACTCCTCGGTAGCTGTCGGCTCCTGCAGACTGGTCGAACTCAGGCTGAATATTCATCACTTTTTAATCTGGATTGTTCTCCGCTGTGTGCACTCCTGAAATGACAAGGCCTTATCACCACGACTGTGCTCCAAAATAGAGATTGTGTAGTCTCCTTTTTTTTTCTTCTTCTTCTTCTTTTTTTTTTTATTCTAAGACAAGCACCGAGGTAATATGATTGACCTCATTACTCAGAGAGGTGATCCTCAACAAAACAAATTCGGCAAAGAGTTCCACTGCAGAGGTGCCCTTGAATGGGGGGGGGAAAGGGCCGTCAGCGTGCCTGCGTTTGATTAAATGTAGCAGTCCGGCTTGTTTGTTTTGCCTTCTGCGTAAGCCGGGGTCGGGGATGATAAATAAAGCATTTGGGTCACGTTGCTTTCTTTATTAGAGTGTGTATCTGATACACTTTGCCATTCGGATGGAATTAGAGCCACCAGGACGTGCAGGGACATGATGGATGGGGCAAGGAAGCAAAGGGAAGGAAGAGGAAAGTGGACAGGATTTGATGCCAGGCGAGAAAGGACCCTGATGGTAAAGCAGACATGATTTTATGTCGGTTTTAATATTACACTGTAGTGGAACGTAGCGAGACCACTACACTACCACTACAATACAACTCTTATGTGTGTAATTAATGCTCCTTGTAGATGACACCATAAACACAGTGCTGTTGTCTTTATTACCGGTTTTATTTCGTCACAATCAAAGACAAGGCTGCAACAGCAACACCACAGGTCCTGGCTTTCTAGCTTTAGCTACTCTGTCCTTGAGTTGCTATGCTAACTAAGCTGAAGCATGGAAAGTTAATTAAAATTAGAAGCCCGATTGTTATTATATTGCACTGTAAGACACACTCTTCCTCATGCGTTGGTCTCACTTACTCCAGCTTTGGCATTTGTTCATAATATTGTGGAGATCGTCAGCAGAGGGGCAGGTAGTGCTAGTGTCGTGTCAAGGCTGATTTATGGTTCCGTACTGGTGTCTGCTTGAATCCACCTATGCAGAGTGAAGGATTATGGGAATCCACAAATGCAGAGCTGCACTTGTGTACAGGCCTACAACAAGCCAACGCCGCCTTGTCCCTTGGCGATGACACTACGCCTAGGTCCAATGCTGATTGGCTAAAAAGGGGGTTCTTTCGGTATGATGAACAATGCGTGCATTTCTAAACACTGCTTGTGACCGCTGTTGCAACAGGCCTACCAGTAAATATTACATTATTCATAATCCATTACTTTCATCGCTCGCTTTCACTCCACTACACTCTGGTATGACTTCATCTTTTCTACAACAGGAACAGAAGCACCAAGAACAGCACAAACAAGTACAACAGGAGTCTACATTTCTGATTTTTCCACATTTTTGTGGTGCTTCCTTACAAGTTACAGCAAATAAAAACAACAAGAAGTTCTGCATAGGACCAATAGAGTCTCAAAGTCGTACTACATTTAGACCTTAAGAGTTCAGTGTAACTAAAATGTTCTGCCTTTCTACTAATATAAATACCAACTTAATTTAAATTTCTTTTGGCCACCAAGTGAAAGCAAGTCCAATATCAATTCTCATTTAGCTCTGTTTTGGTCTCTACCAACGAATTATGAGCCTTTTTGTACATAAAACCTCCATCACAGTCAACAGCTGGTACATAACATTGTCCTTAATACAAATGATGGTCTGCAATGGGTTTTAACAAGTTTTTCGCAGAAATCAGCTGCCTGCTGTGGCAGTAAATGTTACTTTGAGACCAATGAAAGTGAAACAGAAGCAGTAAAGTCGCAGACCGGACAACTACACAAAGAGCAAAATCTCCCCATAAAGCTCTGTTTGAGTCCAACAAATCTCAGTTCCCTTTTTTTAGCTACTAACAGCTGCGCACTAATAATAGTGTTTCAGGAAGCTTTGATGAATAATGATTTTATCTGTCCTTTGCTGGCATTTATGGCTGCAATGATCAAGTTTTATACCAGCACACAAGCCCACTGCGGCCTGTGAAATGCATGTAAAAAAAAAGAAGAACAGAAGCAACCAAAAGATGGATGAAAAGAGCAGGGAGGAAACAAGAAAACGAGTGGCTCGGGGTGGTGAGGGGAAGGTGAGATATAGAAAGAGGTGGCTAGACTGATGACTGCGTCAAGAGTGGCACTGCTGAAAATCCCCCCTATTAGCCCACTGTCAGTTCTACCTCTGATCACTTCACTAAGCGCTGATGGAGAGAGAGATTATTCCGGAGGCGCAGTGGTTTGAGCGAATGGTGATGGCACTGCTCTGTTCCACCACCGTCTCTAAATCGATTTTGACGGGCAGATCAGCGCCATGCTGACCTCGTGTTCCCCTTTGAATGAGGGAGGGAAGAAAGAGGCGGAAACAATTCAGCGCAATGTGCTACCACATTTGCTGAATGTGTAGAAAGAAACTCGGGTGTGCAGTGACAGAGTTTACTCGGAGTTTGAGGGTTGAAAGTGAATATAAACAGAAGCTGCAAGGTATGATGAAGAGGAACGGGACAGATAAGGGAGGATGAAAGAGACATGTAAATATTTAAAGTCAAGGGCATTAGTCTCTAAGCCTCCTGAAGTCAAACAGGCTGCCCATCCCAAAAAGGGGGCTTAATACGAGCATATCAATTTGAGATAACGATCTCATTTAAACAGAAACATGATCTGAAATGCAAATTTCAGACATTTCTGAGCTGCAGGTAGATTTTGGACTTCAAACACTGCAAGGATGTTGGAGATCTTGGCTTGAAATACAATGCTGTCTCCATCAATATATGAAATATTTATATATGCTTCGGAAAAGGAATGCGTTTTAGTCTGAAATTGTTTGTGCCTCAAATGGAAATTTGTCTCAAAGGTAAAGGTCAACCAAAAGTGCAATGCACAGCATGGTTTCTTTTTTTTAAATCTGATTTCGAGTGGCAGATTTTCTGTTTGGAGTCATTTGCCATGATTACTCTGGCCCTCTTTCTATGGTATCATTATAACGAAATAGCTCCGCTCGAAATGTCTCCTTCATATCCTTCTGCTTTGCAATGTAAAACGCTGCATAAAAGACAGAATATTTTACTTGTGACAAGGCCTGCAGTCTCAAGAACCCTATTAACTTCGAAGAATTTGTCTAAATTTACTTTTGTTTTGCTGGTTTTCAGTGTTTAAATATTGCTGCATTAATGAGCTACAATAGCAACCACAGTTTTAAATTTTCAACAGCGTTTTGGATGGAAACATTTGGTTCTTCTTGATTATTTAAAGGGGTTATTAGACATTTCGAAAAAAACAAGTCTGCCTGAAATAATCAGAATCTACCTCCCAGGATTTCCGATGCTCAATAATATACACACATAATACACATATTATTAATGCCATAAG